CAAAAGAAAGACGGCACCTATCCCCTAGCGATTAGGGTTATTAAAAACAGACGGCCAACATATATTTTCATTGACTGCAACAGCATCAAGGAAAGCGATTGGGATGCCGAACGCCAGCGCGTTAAAAAATCGCACCCTAACTCCACCCGATTGAATAACCTTCTTGCCGCCAGATTTGCGGAAGCAACTGCCAATGCGTTAGAATTGGAAGCGAAAGATCAGGAAGTCAGTTCAGAGGCCATCAAGCAAAAGAAACTAGGCAATGGAAACAAAGCGTCTTTCTTCTCACAGGCACAAATCTATTTGGACAACCTTAAGACAAGTGGCAAATACAACATCTTTGTTACCGAGGAAGCACGAATTAAAATCCTGCGTGAATTTATCGGCGAAAGCAAAAAGAAAGATATCTCCTTTGAAGAAATAGACATTCCGTTTCTGAACAAACTAAAGGCATGGCTAAAGGGTGTCAGAAACGTCAAGGAACGCACGGCCATGAATTACTTTGTGCTTATCCGCACCATCTATAATCAGGCCATTGCCGCCAAGCTAGCCGACCGTAACGGCTACCCTTTCGGCAAGGAAGGTATCAGCATTAAATTCCCCGGCTCGATCAAGATCGGCCTGTCCATGGAAGATGTAAAAAAGCTTGAAACACTTGATCTGTCGGATAACGAGTTTCACAACCACGCTCGGAATATTTGGCTGCTGTCTTTCTATTTTGCAGGCGTCCGGGCTGGTGATAGTTTGTTGCTGAAATGGTCAGATTTTCAGAATGACCGCCTGTATTACAGCATGAACAAGAATGATAAGGCTGGTAGTCTTAAACTGCCTGAAAAGGCGGTTGCTATCCTAAACCAATACAAGGGTAAGGAAACCAAGCACGATCTGATTTTTCCTGAACTGACTATTTTAGACAGGCTGGATGATCTTTATGAGGTGCAGCGCAAGACCTCGTATGCCGTGAAAAAACTGGATAAGGCTTTAAAAGAAATTGCCGTGAAAGCGGAAATCACTACGCCGCTGACGATGCATATTTCCCGACATACATTTGGCAATATCTCCGGTGATAAAATTCCGGTGCAAATGCTGCAAAAGCTTTATCGGCATTCCTCCATTACCACTACAATTGGATATCAGGCCAATTTTATTCATCAAGATACTGACGATGCTTTAAATGCTGTAATTAATATTAGATAGAATTATCCTTGTTTAAAAGGTTATAAGATTACCTTCTTCTAATAATACATTGTGGCTTTGTAAAAAAATTGCACGCTGACTATTTAGGGAAGCTTTAATCGGTCTCTCATTACTATGTTTAAAGCAAATGATAGCTTTTGCTATGATTTCTTGAAAATTAATTCCTTCACCCTTTAATTTTTCTATCATGCTTCCGAGCTGCAATACAGCTTCCTTTCGCTTGGTAGACCTTACACCGCTGCTACAGGATTTAATTTCTACAAAAAAAATCTTCTCATTATTACCTATAATGCAATCGCATTTTTGTATGTCTTCGCCAACTAGGCACTTATCTGTTTTAAAAAAATAAACATCCTTAGCCGCATTATTTTCAACTGTTAATTGATATTCATGTTTTTCAGCAACAATTCTACATGGCTGTTGTAACTCGGGAGGCGGATCATAGACACGAAATAAGTTCATTGAGGTTTCTACCACTTCAATCTTGGGATCACATGTACATCGATTTGGAAATTTACATTTCCCTAAACAATTTTGAATTCCCTCTATCATGCTAATAAATCCATTAAAGCTTCAAAATCTTCAGTCATCTTATCAGATGTTTGGTCAATATAATTATCTCTTATTAATCCATTTTCTCTATCAAATATATCTTCAGCTTTTCCATTAGAAATTTGGTACGCTGTGAAATAGTATTTATTTATCGACACAGGCAAAATTTTTCCAACCGTAGATTTTATCTCATCTCGAGATAATTTCACTCCATTTATTTCTTTATCTTCCAAAGCATCTGAAACCTTATCTGCATAAAGTAAATTATTTAATGCAGATAAAATGTAAGGACTATGAGTGGTATAGGTATGAATTGTTCCAAAATCTTCCCAATAAGGTTCAACACGTCCTTTTTCTAAGTATTTTACTAGCTCATATTGAGCTAGCGGAAATAAATTTAGTTCTGGTTCTTCAATTACAAACGATCGATGGGTTATTGATCCTCTTTGGGATAAAATTGGTATAATCACCGGTAGTGCGCTCTGTATTCCTGATGCGGCCTCTGACAATTTAATACTATTGTTATCATCTGTAAAGATTCGATCTTCTCCATTTATATTTCTATAGACCATATCAGGATGCAAAAAACCAAGGTCTATTTTATCTATTTTAGATTTTTCTAATTCCGCACCAAATGACAAAATATGTTTAGGTATAGGAACGTCATGCAAAAGCAAATTCATTGAACTCGCTCTAATGATATTTACAAAATTCCTTTCAGCAGGAATATATAATGCTGTATTTGTGCTTAATAGTTCTTCTACCTCCTTTATCACGACAATAACTTGTTGAAATTTTTCATAAGTCAGCATTTCGTCATCCGCAAATACCCTAAATAAGAACGAGCCTTTCTTTCCTTTATCCGGAAACAACTTATTTATCTTCATACTAAAAGAAATAAATTTTTCTGAAAGCCTAATTATTGATCTCTTAATTTCATTGATATTTTCGTCGAAATCCCCCCCCAACAATTCTAATTCATCAATCCATTTTATCATCTTAGGATCATAATGAATTATCCCTTTGCTATAGCTTATATCATGTAGTTCTGAATAAAATGCAATTTCTGT